CCCCAAAACCCCAAAACCCCAAAACCCCATAGATAATCATTATGATGCATATCAAAGTAGATATTATTAATGACACGCTTTAATACAAGGGAAACTAATTGAAAATCTAAAGTCTCATATAATACACCAAATTAGATATCTAAAGAAATGGAGAATGGAAACATTGCATGTATTGATGCCAATCAATCTAACCATCTCTAATGTACTCCATTTTGCCATTAACCTTTTCTTTTATTAATTCCTGGCTTATCAATCAAGAAACCTACTCCATCCTATTAACCATTGCGCCATTAGCCTTCAAATCTGCTTCCATCCGAGTATATGTAGATCCCAAAGCCGTGCTTTTTGTTTTTCAAATACTCTCCTTGATACATTCTTCCATCCTTCCATTCATAATTGCCTTCTCCTTCCATCATTCCCATTGAAAATTACCCTTTATATCTTCTTCCATCTGACCAAACAAATTCTCCAACGCCATGCATTTCATCTTGTTGCCAGTCGCCTGCATATTTTGAACCATCTGCCCAATAGTAAACTCCTCTGCCATGCTTTTAGCCATTTTTGTATTCTCCATTATAGTAGGATCCATCACTCCATAATTCAATACCCCTTCCATTCTATGCATCATCTCTCATATAGCCTTTGAATATACCATTACCATCTTTTTGCTTAAATACTCCTAAACCAGTTGCTTTGTCTTTTTTCCACTCTCCTTCTACCAGCTCTCCATCTGAAGTTTTAAATATTCCTCGACCATCTGCTTTCCCATCAGCCCAGTAGCCCTCAAAATAAGATCCATCTGGCCATTACAGTCTCCCATAACCATGTCTTTCACCAGTCTTCTTTCTGACCTGTCCTTCATAAATTAAACCTCCCTCAATATCTATTTTCCTGAATTCTAAGTCTTTGTCTTTTAAAAACAAATCTAATAGTAATTTAACTTAACTAATAAGTTACTCTGCTTATCTTTGATGGGTTTGTTTTCGTTACATATTGTGTCATGAGCTGTATCATTCATTTTAAAGGTATCAGTTCCTACAATTAAATCACGAGTTAAAGCAAGCTTTTCTATGTCCTGCATTGGAGAATTTAGTAAATCAAGTCCTCCATTTTTATCAATTATAGGCTATAATAGTAATCATTCACATAATCTTTTCTATACCTATAGGTTTTCTTCTTCCTCTTTATTTGGTTGCTGTTGTTCTTTATTGCTGCCGCAGCAATAGCAGACAGTACTACTGCAATTACCCATCTCAAACCAATTTACAATATGACTTATTTTATGCAATTATAGTAAATTAAAAGTTTGTAATTAAAGTAATTATCTATTAAATTTTATTTCTTCATTTAATATTAATTGCCTGCTTTACCACTTTTTAAATCCATCAAGGGGTTTTGGGGTTTTGGGGTTTTGGGG